CCGGGTGCGGCCCGCGGGGAAAGCCCCCGCCCCGCCCGCCGGGGCAAGGTCCCGGCGCGCATGCGCAGAGGAGCGGCGCCGGTTCACGTCCCCGAGCCCCTGCCATTACCCGGCCGGCTCCCCCCCAAAAATCAGGCAGGTTTGAATCAAAAACAGCAAGTTTCGGGAAAAGACGGTTTTCAGAAAAACGGCGAGCAGCAGGTTTGCAAAAAAAAAAAACCGGAATTTCCCCCCAAAGCAGCAGATTTGCGAAAAATCCCAGCAACTTCCCGAAAAAGCGGCTGATTTGGAAGAAAAGCAGCAAGTTTCTGAAAAAGCAGCAGGTTTGCAAAGGAAACCCAGCAAGTTTCTGAAGAAGCAGTGGAATCGCCAAAAAAACCCCCAAAACAACAACCAAAAAAACCTCAAGTTTCTGAAAAAGCAGCGAGTTTCCAAAGAAAAATAAAGCCAATTTCCAATCCGCTGTGGGCGAGCGAGGTAAGTCCCTGTTCTGTGAGGATGTGCCGGTTGGGTTTTATTTTTAACTTGAGGCCAAATCCTGCCGGGCTGATGGCCTTCCTGGTCGGGTCATCCCACCGGATGCAAAATTAGGGCCAGTAAAGGTGTATTAGCCAGTAATGAGTATTTTGCAACACAAGCCGGCTTCACGCTGCAGCCAGAGGAGACGTGAGCCTGTTGCTAATATAGATATCTTTTTCCCCCTAGTGTTATTAAATTTTTTCCCATGTTATTGCATTTTCCTAAGCGTTATCCGAAGAGTTTCGCTGCCAGACGCTGATAAACGTCCCTCGGCTGAGCTGAGCAGCGGACACCATGGATGCACGGCGCTGGAGGGGTCTCCCGCCCAGGAATCTTTCCGACTGTCCCAACGGCTCCCGCTGGGTGATGGACGTGTTCAACGAATGTGCCCAGGACGGCCAGGACATCGCCAGCGTCGTCCTGGGTCTGGTTTCCATCTTCTGCTTCGCGGCTGCCTCTTTTCCGTAAGTATCGCTCCCAAAACCCAGCCGAGCCCTTCCCTTGGTACAACACTCCTCTCTAAAGATCAAATTTCAAGTGCAAGCTGCCTGAATTATTAAATCTACCTGGCAAAAGCAATCTGGGCTTGGAAAATTTGGGTTTAACAGGAAGAGAGGGAGCAGGCGGTACAGCCCCAAAGCCTTGGTTGTTATTATATTGTTGTTGTCATGCTTGGCAGCTGTAATAACCCATGTAAGCCAACTGCAATGCAGTCGTTGCAGGTCGTGAGTGTGGAAGAAATGTTTCCAGGAGCCCTGGGCTTCTTGGAAGTGCTGGGACAACCGTGGCAGAGGGGGCCGTGGGGGGTCGCGCTCGGTCTCGGTGTATCATCAGATTATTTCGTAACCGGAGAGGCGGTTTCTGCAACTGGTGCTTCTCCTCGCTGCTTTCTGCCCCGCACGAGGGACAGATCACAAGGGCTTGAGCCCAGCGGGTTGCTGCAAGCACCCAACGGGTCGCAGGACTTCTCATGGGGGCCCATTTGCAGGGGAGTACGTGGCTTAGCTAGAGGAAATCTCTGCTTTTCCTCCTCTGCCGAGTGCTTTGGGCGGGTGGCAATTGCGAAATGATCCAGGTGGGAGCAACAAGGAGTCCTGGGGATGGTCCCCAGGTAGTGCTGAACCAGCCAGGGGTTATGGTTTGTGTCTCTGCCCAACTCTCTCTCTGCAGGCAGTTTTACCAAGCCTGCAAAACAGGCATCATGGACCGGGCTCTATCCATATATTTCCTGCTGGGATGGCTGGGCGGAGACCTCCTAAACCTCATCGGTTCCTTCCTGGCCGATCAGTTGCCCCTGCAGGTACCGACGGGGGTTGGTTCTCAAACTCCCCTAACTCCAGGGAGGAGGGATGGGATGGGTGCTGCTTAATCCAGCACCGGGAACCAGAGACCCAAACAGCCCTGGGGATGCTCCCTTCTCTCCCAAGGATGCTGGCTCATTCCATCCATCCCAGCTGAAAGCCTTTCTTGCAGGTGGGACCAACTCATCCTTCTCCCTGCAGGTTTACACAGCTGTTTACTATGTGCTCGCAGACCTGGTGATGCTGTCTCTCTACTGCTACTACAAAGTGAAGAACCGGGGTGGAGGATGTGAGTTGGGGTTACAAGAGTGGTGGGGCTGTGCGGTCCCCTTGGCATGTCTTCCGGGCTGGCTTGTCCTCGGCTGTGGAACCAGGAGAGGGAGGAACCCTGGGGGAGATGCACTGGGGCAGAGATGCTTTGCAGATCCATTGATGCAGCTATTAGATGCCTCTTACTGCTTGCTGGGTTTTTTTCTTGGATAACCTGAGGACCTATGAAAGCCTAAGCTAGCAAATAGCTACTGGCGGTGCCTGGGGCTTCTGCAAACCCCTGCAAACCACCATGTGCAGTGTCCGGGTTGAAAACAACCCCCCCTGTGAGTTGCATTAAGTATAGAAAGAAATGACTTACTGCAGTGACATGGTGACTCCATCTTGGAGCTGGAAACCGCAGCCAGAAGTCTTGACTCAAGCCAGCGCTTTAAGGGAAGGGGTGAAGTTTTTGAGCTCTTTCGGGGTCGATACTCCTCTTGCAAATAATGGCAGCTGTGACATGATGGAGGACTTCCTCCCTGTTTGACTGGAGTAAAAAGGGCATCTGAACGGGGCTCTGCAGTTCTTGCAAGGCTTAAACAACAAGAAAAAAAATCCACTTTTTAGCACTGCAGCTTTCTGTGAACTACAAACAGGCATCCCTTGGGATTGGTAACTGTTTAACTTATTAAAGCTATTTGAACTTATTAAACCAATTGATATTTGGCCCATCAACTACATAGTTTTGTTAATGGTGGAGAGCTTGTTTACAGAATATAATACAAGTCTTGCTGTCAAAGCAGTGCTTGGTCTGGCAGGGATTTGAACATGCACTGTTGTGAGTTAAGACAGTGAAAAGCTTCTAGATGGAAGGGATGATTTTTAAGAGCCCTAAACCCAAAGAAACTCGACTGCTCTCGATCTGCTGAGATAAGAGCAGTTTCCTCCCTGATAACTTAGAAATTGCCCATATTGCTGCGAGATAAAACGACCGCAGCAGCTATTACCCAAATTACTTGGTGCCAGAGATAAGAGAGAGCTTGAAGGTTTCTTTACCCAGAGGGGGCCCTGGCACCCACCAGGGGTACTGGGCTGCACTGGGGGCTGATGGAGGAGCCCTCCCTTACCAGTTTCTGCTTGATTCCCTGCAGTCGCTACCCCAGTCAATGCAGCCTTTGTCTTCCTTTCCCTGGGGACGGTGTCGACCGTCTCCTTCCTGGGCAGAGGTGCTGTCGTGGCACAGGACCCGGCGACGTTTAAAGGGAGGTCCCTGCTGTCCGCTCATGTGGATGAGCTTGGGTCGAAGGTGAGCAGGTTCCTAAATCTGTGTGATGGGGGGAGAGAGGATAAAGTGTCCGGTGGGGTGGGCATGCCCTGCTGAACGAGTGTGACCCTGCTGAATGCTCAGCGGGGTGAGGGATAGATGGGGAGATCAAAGGCTGGGTCTTGGCCCCGCTGTCGCCTCGCACGGAGCCGTGGCATGCGTGGGAAGCGTGTCTCTGAACACACAGGGGCTGCTTGCGGCCCCCTTGCCTTCCAGCCTTTCACCAGGAGTGAGATCATTGGCTTTACCATTGGCTCCATCTCCTCCGTGCTGTACCTGTGCTCCCGAGTCCCCCAGATCTACACTAACGTAAGTGTCGCATGGTGAGCAGGGCAGGACGGCAGCCTGGTCCTGGGGTCCTGAGATTTCAAATTGAAGAGGGTTGGTGGGATCATTTTTGTCCTCTTTGCTTAGAGGTCCCAGGTCCCCATCTCTGATCATTTCATAAGGGACTATTTTTCTGTATTTCTGCTCCGAAACCTGATTCATTTTTCTCCCCTCCCTTTAACACACTAATATTTTGAGGGTGGGGCTTTCATTTTGTCCTTATTTACAAGCAGAAGTGGAGCTAAAAGGCTCTTGGCACTGAGTCACCACCTTTTTTTCTTCTTTTTTTGGGGGGGAGGGTGACTAATACTACTTTCTAGTGAGATTTTGGAGAGCTGCACCCAAGCTCCCCTCTTGGCCCTTCTCCTTCCAGTACAAGAGGAAATCCACCACCGGCGTCTCCTACTCCCTCTTTGCGCTGGTGATGCTGGGGAACTTGCTCTATGGCCTCAGCGTCCTCCTGAAGAACCCCGAGCCGGGGCAAGGTGAAGGCGACTACGTCCTGCGCCACCTCCCCTGGCTGGTGGGCAGCCTGGGCGTACTTTCCCTCGACGTGGTCGTATCCTTTCCCCGCCAACGCTTCCCTCCAGGATCGCATCCCGACAGCAAGGCTTTGCAGGGAGTGATCCTGCCTTGGGGCAGGCAGGGTTAGGCAGGAGCGTGTGGGTTGATGTTGCTCAGCGGTTGCTTTTGAGCTGTGTTTGCTTACCCGCGTGCCGGTGAGTAATTTATGGTGTTGCAACAGCAGAATGCTTCAGACCCTTGTTTGCATTAAGCTCTTTGTCCTGTTTCCACCTCTCCTGGCACAAACAGCCTTTTTTTCAGGTGGTGAGACCCAACACGTCATGTAGATCCCCCCTTGCTTGCGTGAAGAGCCTTAACCTTTTCTCAGATCTCCTTCCAGTTCCTTGCTTATCGGAGAGGAACACCCGCTGCCTGTGGAGAGAGGGATGCTCTTCTCAGCGAGCGGGGTGACAGCCTGGAGAGCTGACAAAGGGACCGGCCCTGGAGTGAGAATAGGATGATGCAGACGAGAAAGCTGGCCTTAACGCCTGGCAAACGGGCGCCTCCATCCTGGTGGCTCTTGGGAGAAGAGGACCTGAGCCAGTGGGTGACATGTTGTGCTGCTAAGACGCTGAGCCCAGCCAGGTGGCAGAGGGTGCTGCTGAGAGACCTGGTGGCTCCTTGATACCAATGATGCTATCGGGATAAACAGGGAGTTATTTGATACCTCAAAAGGTTGCTCTTCGCTGCTCTCACACCCAACCGCTGAGCTTGGTCACTTGTGCTTTACCTGCTGTCTCTCCAGGGTGATCTGGAGCTTCCCCAGTATTGGCAAATGTTAGAAGAGCCTAAGGGGTTGCGGGGAGGGGACAGAGATGACCGACCTGCCACGAACACGAGCACCCCTTATCTCTGTGGGCCTCATGTCTCCACCAGTGAGCTCTTTCTGGAAGATATAGCAGTGACTGGAACCAGCTCAGAAGGAAGGAGCAGCATAACCAAAGTGTTTCAGTCCACACATACCTATTTTAATTAGCATGGCTCACATGTCTATAAAAAAAGTCCCTGCCCCATGTACCTCCTTTGGTTTTATTTTGCCGGTTCATCTGGCAGCTCCTGCGTCTTTCTTAATGAATGTCATAGTCCCCATTTCTCTGACTTCTCGCTTCTCGCCTCACCCACGTTTAAATCACAAGGATTTCTTGGGGAAGTTGCTTCATCACTTTCTGGTTAGCTGCAGAGGCAGTTACCCAGGCAGAAGATGACGCCTCCCTGCTCAGCCTGGTTTTTGGTCCTGCCCTCTCCCATTGATGAATTTATGCCCAACACTGATGAATTTATCCCCCTCCCGAGGCCCTGCACACCAGCATGGTGGCTCCTTGACTGCAGCAGGACTGGAAGCCGTGGCGGGTTGGGAAAAACCACGTCCCCAGCAGGAGAGATGCTTTCGGGTGGGCAGGGGAGAGCGGTGGCATAGCCAGGAGATGGCTGCTTCAGCCCGGCACTGCAGGCTCCCTCCTGTGTGCTGAGCTATTTCTGCTGGGGAGGAGCAGCTCGATCTCACTGGGCAAGCAAGAAGAGTATCAACCAAAGCTTGCAGGCCCTTCAAGAAAAGTTAGCACAACTTGTCCTTTTAAAAACAAGGAATTTTCCTTTTCCTGCAGTCACTCTTAGCTTTTCTTTTTGCTCCCCTTTTCTCCCTCTCCAGCTGCTTTCCCGATACCCAACACTTCCCTGCTGCCCACCCATGCAGCTCCCCGCTTTGTGCCCCTTTTGGGTTTAGCTGTATTATCACTAATTTACAATTAGTCAGTCCCATGACATTTGTCCTTGCCAGTATTGGGAGCTGAGTCATGTTTTCAGAAAGGAAAATTATTTTTTCAGGCTCTTTGACCCTCCCTTCAACAAAGCTGCTGGCTTTTTCACTCTATTAATTCACAATTCTTGTGGTCGATGGGGCTGCTCGCCTCTTCCCTGGCCTCGAGCCAGCAGCATTTCCTCTGCTTTTTCCCTAGGAGTTGCAGAAAAACATTTCATATCCAGCACTAATACAAACCACAAGCAGATTCCTAGCAAGGTAGAAAGCACAGCTTCGTTAGACCTCAATACCTATTTATTACAGATAAAGACCCTGGGGCTTGGTTTTATTAGAGTGTTTTCTGACATTTGCTAGCTCAGCCCTGAAGTGCTGGGGAAGGCACGGTTGGTTTACCAAGAGCGGGATTTACTAAGCTGACCTACGGCAGGGGGGTAGGATGGAATTTGGCACACCTACCTTATGGAAATGAAGCTTCATAACACTAGATAATTGCCATGTACCAGCTAACCAAGAGCTTTTCTTAAAACCAAAAAACCCCACCTCTAATATAAGGAGGCAAAAAAAAAAAAAAAAAAATTTATGTTTATGTGCCAGCAGCCATCTAGGTGGTGGTGGATGGAAATTCATGTCGCAAAAAGGCTTTCGCTGAGGTTATCATCCCTCCGGGACTGTAATGCAGCCCTGTCCCCCAAAGAACCTGCAATTTAAGATTTTGCAGAGGCAAGTGTTAAACCAGAAAAGGCACAGACCAGAAACAACTTGTCCCAGAGTCAGAATGTAACCCGGTGGCAGGCTGGGGGCTGTAGCAGCCCAGCCAAAGCTGGAGGTTAGTACGCAAACCATCAGGTTCCACTGCTTTGAGAAGAGGAATGAACTGCTGCTGCAGCTGCATCGATCCTGCAGCTCGTACCTGTACGACTGCTCTGCGGAAAGGGTATATCCCTGCACACAAGCAGTTAGGGTGTCCCTGTATACCCCAAGCCTGTACATTAAATTTATCTGAGATGAGATGTGGCTTTGGAGAAGGGAAACAAACCCCCTGAAAGCTTTAGCACGCAACAATTGGAAACAGGCAAGAGGAACGGCGAGTGTCCCCCCTCCTGGGCTAACACACTCCTTTCTGAGCTTCAAGAGTTCACGGAAACTTATCTCCAACTTCAAAAAAGGTTCTGCCTCGGACAGAACCAAGAGACGACAACAACAGAATCTCAACCTGTTCCCCTTGGGGATCCCAGCTTTGAGGCAAGCACGTGCGCACCCTTCCCCAGCCTGCGTCCCATATGAGCTGCATTATACAGACCAGAGGCCCCCGGGTAAACACTGCGGCACGGGGCCGTAATCACCTGCAGATGTCTGGATGTGAAATAGGTCACATTAGAAAAGCAAAATTAAGAGCACGTTAATCAATATTAATGCCAACAGTCTCAGTTTACATCGGTTCACCCAAAGGCTGATTCCAATGGCCATGTGCAGGAAGAGCCCAGCAGGTATTTGCTTTCTCAATTTTGCCAGGATTAAGAGTTTGTTCTAACCAAAGCACATTGAAGTAGGCAGTGGACCTGAAGCTGAGCAAGGTCCCTCTGACCACCACACGTTTAAAGAGGGGAAAAAAGTCTGGATGAGGTTCACAAATCACATGGGGACCAAGCAGAGAAGGAGCTTTTGGGTGAGCACCGATGCCTGGAACCATCCACCTCAAACTGCCGACTGAACCACAACACCTCTCCTGTGCCCACCTGAGGGTTTCAACCCACAGCTTCCTCCCCCCACTATTTTTAACGCACCCAGTAAAGCTGGACTAATCCTTCTTCTCTCAATACATCTGTTCCATGTTCGCTGGATGCCTGAAGCATCAATCCCAGCAGCGGGATGCCAGCATCCCAGTGCCAGCATCTTAGAAGTACAACAGGCTGACGAGTAAGCAGCTACGTAATGCTCCACCTGTGAAGAGCAGCCCTACATCACACCCTCTTCAAAACAAACAAGTTTCAGCTAATCTAGTTGTGAGGGAAAAAAAAAAAAGCTTTCTTGCTTTCCGTGGCCATATAATCCAGCAGCTGGTTGGATTACAGATATGCTCGGTGTTTGCCTTTGTTTTCAGGCACATTTATCTACCAACAGCCAGAGCGACTGCTTCCAGTTGCTACAAAGGAAAATGTTTACAACACAAACCCCAAGTAACACTGCAAGGAAGGAAAGAGAAATAAGGAGGACACCAACCGCACACACTGCTTCCTGGGATTTTTTTTTATTTTATTTTTTTGTTTTAGTCTTTTTTTTCTTTTTTTTTTCTTTTTTTTTAGTATGGAGGCTCAAGTATCAGATGTAGATTCAATTTAAGCTTTACAAAAAACAAAATCAAAACAAAAACCCCTTTTGCATTCCATAAAAATTGACAGAAAAGCGCCTTGGAACCAGGCTATAGAAGAGCAGAACTTTCAGCAGGTCTCCTAATCAACGTCTCCTTGCAAATCTGGTTTAGTCAGTATAGTACAACACCGAGGAACACCCTCTCTTCCCTCCCACCCACCAGCCATCCCCTGTGCCCAGCCCCCAAACATACGTGGAATAGATTATTTTTTTTTCCAGTTCTTCCTCTTTCACACACCACAGTATTTAATAAATTTTTGTTTTACATTTTTTACACCAATGTAACAAAAGGCAGGAGGGGGTGGGAAGGAAAAGACAAACAATGATCCGTGTTTATGCATATAAATGGGGAAGGGTGGAAGGCGGGGGGGGGGAATACATGGACTTCTACAGAAACGTAGCCTAAGGTCTCAATAGTAAAATGTGGTGCAAAGTAGGCCTCAGAGACTGAAAAAGTTTGTACAGCTTTATTCATGGAGAGAAGATGGCGTTGCATGGATAGTACTGAATGCAAATTGTGACGTGACGTAACAGAAAAGGGCAAGGGGGGGATGAGTTTTCTAAGAAAGGAATCTAATGAGTGCATGGCATGTCTTGTTAGCATGAAGAGTATTTTAACTTTGCTGCTTTCTCTTCAAAGCCTCCACCAGGTCGTTTTTAAGAGCTTCTTGTTTTGATTTGTCTGCAAAAGTCTGCACAGACCTGCGGGGAAGAAGGAAATGCAAGTCAGAGGCGATGCATTTGAGAGAAGGCGTTTTTTAACAGTTCTCCTGGCATGTGAGTCAATAGGAAGGAGAAGCACCTGAAACCAGGCTTAGAGGGAACAAAACTCAGCTTGCCTGTTTTAATACAGAAAGCAGAAGGCAAAGTGAACACTTCAGTGAGTATATCAAAGCAAAATTCACTCTAGCAAGGATGGCACCAAGAGACACGCTTCCCCAGAAGTTCCACTCAGCCTCCAGTTGCTGGAGGGTGATTCCCAATTTTTTACATTACAGATTGGAAAAACCCCAGTGTACCACCAGCAAAGGGTGTTAGCGCTCTCGCTCTCCCAATGACCGTGACGGGAAGGCAGAGAAAATCCAGCCTCCACCCACGAACATGAAAAGGGCCAGGCTGGGGGAGCTCCTGAACCTTTTTGCAGACTGTTCACCCAGGGTCGAGCAGCCACATCAAGACTTCCCTCCAGTGTATTCACCAGTGGGAAAGGCAGCCAGAGTTTCTGTTCTTGAATTTGGTTTTCCAGTTTGTACCTTACCTAGAGCAGTTAGTGAATCAAAGCAGCTGAAGAACAGAGATACTGTCAGCAAGATTATTGCAGGGGTTCCCTTTATGCTAAAAGTTTGGTTATAGAAGAAAAGCTACATTTTTTAGGAGTCATCTTCGCTCACCGCCCTGTAAGATCATTGTGGAGGAACCTCCATTTTCAATGGTACAATAAGAAACTTCCACTTTTAAAAAAGCCCTCTTAAATGTGACCATTGATAGAATACTAATACTAATAATCTTCAGGAGTTGCTACCACAGAGAAGTGGTTAGGATCCAGTTTGGTAGGATTTCTCCCCACATAAACCGTATTTCATACCCTTTTCAGTACTCAAAGCTACCTTATTTTGCCTGGATGCTGTCTCCTGTAAACAAGGCCGCTCTTTGTGTCAGTTATTTTCCTAACATTTTTATAACAGTATTTCCATTCTCTTGTCTCTGGAGACTTCCGCTGCTTTAATAAAAATATATACATTTTATATTTTCATTTGTCACAGGCTAAAGAAGTGGTTCTTGGCCATTATCAACAAATAGTGCATTTTCCCCTTCGTCAGCTTAACATGTTAAAGACAACATCTGTAACTCATTATGAATTGGAGTGGAAGGTTAAACTGGCTCAGGGTTAGTCACTGCCGTGCGTCCTAGACATTCAGAGCTCCAGAGCAAATGAGAGCATATGAACAAATCCCTTTAAAGGCTGTGCAGAGCACAAGCAAGTGGAGGCTAGAAATGTTTCAGTGGAGCTTGAGCAGGACTGGATTTCAAGCTCCAAGGAAATTCAAGATACACCAGGCAAATGGGGGATGTGCACGTGAGGTGAGCTCACATTTACTCAGAAGTCACAGGAAGTACCAGTCTTTTTTTTTTTTTTTTTTTTTTCCAAAACTGCAAGACTTCCAAGATTTCATTCCTTTCTGCAGGGAGGATGCTAAGATTACAGGGAGTTTCTTCATTGAAGTGGTGTACCACAGCTGTAAAAAACTGATGGTGCACAAGGGACAGAGTCCCTGGGGCTTCTGGATCGAATCAGTCCAAGCTAACACCACTTTGGGTACGTGACCACGCGCTCCTTTCTTGCTCCCAAGCTAGAGTGCAAAGTGGTAAATCCTGCCACATTTCAGAGCGTGATATTTCAAATCAGGGGAAGGGGTAGAGTAACGTTGAAAATAAAAATCACAGCATTTAGTTGGCCATATTAAGAAATAACCCTTGGGTGAAACACAGATCAAATGTCGTTTATCAGTCTGCGGGAGTTAGGGGTTAGTTCTGGTCTCAGTTATCATGCAGAGGTCTTGGCTGGGTGAGTCCTGGTTTAGTGCTGGTTGTCACACCTCACAGGCAGGGGGTACCTGGATTGGTTTAGTTATCAGGCTGGATGTAGATCTGGCGCTGGGTCAACACTTGAGAAAGCTCCCTCTGCAACTGCTTATACTTTTGGTTGTCGGGGATAGCATCAATAGATCTACAGAGAGCAGTTTAGAAACGAGGGAAGTAAACAGGGAAAAGAACAGTCAGAAGAACTCAGTAACACAGAGCTGGTATTCTGGAAACCACCAGGAGCACACTCAGGAAGAATAAGGGTAAATACATAGGTTAGAAGAAACAGAAGAAAGGCTAGAGGAAAAGCCAAAGCCAGATGCTCTGTATGTTACCAGTTCTGAGCAGATCATCTCACCGATGCACAAAGTACCATGACTCAAACTGAGCAATGGGGAGACATAGGAAATAGATTCAATTACAAAAGCTTAAGGCAATGTTCACAAGGAAAAAGACTGTATTACATATTTCCTTTTAATGTTAATAAAAGCTTCCTGGCTAAACCCCTGCACACCACAAATGAAAATAGAGGCCTGTTATGAAAGCTGGGGGTTGGGGGGGAGGGGGGGGAGAAAAAAACCACCACACAGAACAGCTGCTTTCTCAGATACTGTCGACTCCCTCTGCCCATGCTGTTAAGAAGGCAGCGCAAATATTTAATTAGCACCATTATTCTATCTTCTTTCACATTTCAGTACATGAGAGAACAGCAGTATACTTATTTGTGCCATTTGTTTATTCTACATTATCACACTGTGCTAGGAGGTCTATCTGCAGTTGAAAACGAAATGATTTGGCATCACAGTTCTGTACTTTCCTCTACGAGCATGAGAACTACCAGCTTGGGATTTCTATGTAAAATTCCTAACCAGAAGTGAGCAGGGGTTGAAAAGTACAGTACAGTTTCCCTGCAGAAAGGCACAGGGGGTTTATTCACTTAATCTGTTACAGTACACTATACTTTGACCAGCGGTGTTGAGAGAAAGACAGAATTTAAAACAAAGTCTATATACCGCAAACCATTAATGTCATGACTTAATTCTGGGACCAAGTGACTGTTTTTAAGAATAGTAGAAAGAGCAGTCAGAATTTAAGTACAGCTTTCAGGACTGTGAAGAATAAAACTCCTAATTAAAAATAATTCTGAAATACAAGTGCTGCTAAATGGGCTATTTTCTTCCTGGTGAGGGAACAAGGGATTAAAACATTGCTTCAAGTTTCTGTAGTTACAAGGTAGAATTTTTCCCTAAATTCCACACAACAAATAATGTTTCCAAAGCACAGTGAGGTGAACAATTAGGGACATGAAAAGACTTTGTGTAGGAAAGGGGAGTTCCAGCAAACAAAAGCAGATCAATGCTCGGCTGGAGACAGTACCACAGGCACTGCAGGGGAATGCAGGGAAGCGAAGGGGGTCCAATAGTCAGTTGGAGAGACCCTTACCTCAGCCCATTAACGATGTCCTTTGTTTTTCCAAAATAAATCTCATTCAGTGTACTTCTGATTTTGTTTTCCATGTCCTAGAAAAAAAAAGAAAGAAACCAGACCTTTAGTCACATCAGCCGTTTTCAGGAACGGTGCACTTACACTCTTCCGTGCATCGTATGTGTTCATTTTGATGTACACCACTTGCCACAGCACGGTTCAACCCCGTGTATTCCTAATACTTAAATTCTCACAGAAGGCAGTGTGACCCTATCTCTCTGCTTGTACCAAAGAAATAAAGGCTTAGCTCTACTCCTGTCCTCTCCTCCCAGTTACTTACCCTAGGCTATGAGATGTCTTTCTGGACCACAAGAGGGCAGTTTCTGTCCAGCTATCAATTTTTCTGCATTCAGTTGCAGAAAAGGAAAATGCATTTCACCCCAAACTTACTCTGTAATTTCCTGGCACTGAATGGACTATAAGTGGCAAGTCAGCCATTTAGCATAACCAACAGGTCAATAGTTTTGTGCTTACAGGTTACTTTGCATTTTTGAGCTGGTGACTCGTTCATTAAAACTGCATGGTAAACAGCTTTGAGAAAGGTCTTGTAAATAAGCAACATTTTTTCATTAGGTCGCTTTCACTCGAGCCAAAAACTTAGAAAAGGGATCAAAAAAGAAGTACCTGCCCTACTTTTATTTCCCAGTTCCTTTAAAAAAATGCATTATAGTCTATTTGAGTTGAGAATTTCCTCCTTGCTTGCCAAAGTGGCTACGAAGATCAAGGACGTCAAGAACACCTTCCTACAGGACAGTGCAATGAGACAGCAAACTAGTGTTGCACCGAAGTCCTTCTGAGCAGCTAACGCAATCACATCCTTCACTCATCATGCTGAGCATACATGACTGACAGCTGCCATAAAATCAAACCAGTGGATTTAATAAGGACTTGATACACACTGAACTTTCAGTTAAAGGGACAGTTCTGTATAACACAACCAGACTTTAAATAATTCCACCCAAAAGTGACTGTAGAAGCAAACACGGGGGTAGGAAATTGTTAACTAGTTCTCAGGAAAGGAACACTTATTTTACAGGAAGGTTATTGCTGTAATGAGCAGGAGACAAAGTGCAGAGTGGCGTCTTTGTATCTACAAACAGTTGGAAGTCATACTAGGAGTACTGAGCCATCAAACGCTGAGCAGCACTCACATGATTAGACTTGATACAATATGAATAAATAACTTGTTCATAAAGACAAAAGCAACAACCTTCTTAGGCACAGGACCAAATATGGGTAAGGGAGCCTGCAGCAGGCTAAGGCTGCGGTGGCTTCACAGCACTCACCTCTACCAAGCGTCCGATATTGGCTATGTGTGGAGAGGAGTCACTCACAGTCTCATCTTTCTCCATCTAGAAAGGAAAGACACAGGTCTATTGATAACATGCAATTCTGATGGTAGATGCATGACACCTTTCCTTGTCAAGAAAGGGGATGGAAGAAGTGGGTCTCAAAATCCTAAACTAACTATTCTTTCAGTATGCAAACAGACTAGTAACCTACTGAGAAATTCCCAGAACTAGAGAAAGGCTCACATGTTGATAACAGAAACGTAGTGTAATAAAAACCATGAATCAAAATAAAACCCTGCTGTAGATCCCTGGTGTAGACAGGCACTACAAAATTGTCATTCCCTACCTACTAAGGGGCTGCAGGAGATCTACAATAGCGAACGTGTAACGCGACAAGAAGCACAGCGTATCTATATGAAAACAAGGTTGTTGTTGATGAGATGCACACAAGGATGGTGCTGTCGGTTTAACAGCTGTGAACTATCCCTGCAAAAACAGCTGTTTCTTTTAATCTTCATCTCAAACACTACTTCCGACCACACATGGGACACATTCTCCATTCTCAGGATCTCCTGGCAAAAGACACCTTAGGCATTATTTACCTTCCAGTAGAGAGGGAAGGTGAAGAAAATACAAAAATCGCAACTACCTACAAGACTGGTGACAATTTAAACTACTGCAATAATACAGAAAGAGAAATTGGACAATTTGTAGTTCTTTTTTTTTTTTCTTTTAGACCAAAAAGCTGAACTAACATTTACCTATCAGGGGAAAGGAGGTACAAAGCAGTGAGTGTGGGGGGAAAGAAGCAGACTGCCCTTTGCAGTACAAATTGAGAGCTGGATCAACTTAAGTGTATAATGATACCACGCACTTAGTGTAGTATCTGTACAGGAGACAGGTACCTGAACTAGGTGAGATTTTTCATCACAAAGATAAAGAAGTGGGAGCCAGTACTGCAGAATGCAATACTTGCTTTATTTCATCTGACTTTGCCCCATATAATGTCCATCCAGAGGCCATGGCTGACCATCCATGATCTGTGCTAGGGAAAAGACCATCTTCCCCAGTTCTTGAGATGAAAATTCTGGCTAGACACAGACAAGCTGTTGAACAATGAACATCAGTCCCAGGAACCTCAACAGATACAAGATGTGCTGAGATGGCATGAAAACAAAACTGGGAGAAAAATGTAGTGGGAAGAACGGTCTTCAAAGGGTTTTACTAATCCCACTGAATTCTCTTATCCATCTGTTCATATCCCTCCCTCAGGGCAGAGTTTAAAAATCTGGGCCAGCTACAGGTTTCTTCTAATAAGCCAAGTCTCTAACAGGCTTGGGGAAGCATGTAATTTAGTTGGAACCCTGAAGGCAAAAGATAACCTAGAAGAGGGGGAGAAAGAGAACAAGGACATTTAATTTTTCCTTTAGATTGCAGTCAGATTGTTTACATGTAATGGAGACATGCTGCCTGGAGAACAGATCCAGTTGCAGTAGAGGGAGAATATAAATCTGAACTATGCAAACACACATATACATGTTACGGTGAGTTTGGGAACTATCAGCAAATTGACCAAATCTGGGGCAGCCAGGGAGTTGGCAGTGGGTCATTTACTTCCACAGGCTCCCTGCCGCATCTCCTCCACACCTGGACAGGCCGAGCTCATTGGTAAGAAGCAGAATCTGAAAACAGAATTATTTTTTTGCAAAACGTATATTATTACATCTCCATAAAAACTGCTGCCAGAAGGAAAACATTTTTATATGCTATAGAAGCCCAGATGTTACAAGAGGCTGTTTTAATGGAGTTCAGAGTCAGTAAGCAGCCATGTTATACAAACAGCAGAGTTGTTGGGATTTTTAAAGGTTCCTTCCGGTGGCTGTTACCGCACGGACCTAAGCAGAAAGCCTATAGCTGCTTAAATAAAGGGGTTAATTTGCTTCGAGGGGAAATTCCATTCTGTAAGTTGATGTTAACAAGCAGCTCATCTTCCCACTGTCACTCCCCATCTGCTGTTGAGCTCAGCCAAAAACCTAACGCTCCAGAAAGAGCCAAGTACAATCTACATGGCTCAGTCGCTCCTCTCCCGTTCGAGAGATACACTGCTTGGCTTCCTTGCCTCATTTCCCCAGCCATCTGCTGCAAGTCTGACTCAGAGGGAAACTCACTCTTCTGGGTATATTAAGCTCTCAATGGCTGGCTGGTCACTTTGGATGTTTCCTGCATGGAATATAGCAGCTGTTTGGGCT